CGTGGAAAACGCAAAGAGAAAGTCAGGAAATTCAATATATTGTAAATAATCCAGTCCATCCAGCGTGGTGGTGGAGTCAGCACCCCTGAGGTGCTCAGAAAAGGAGTGGATGTGGCATTTCCCAGTGTGGGGCACCTGCTCAGGGCTGGACCTGAGGCTCTGGAGAGCTTTTGCTGCCTCAGGGGCTCTGTGAGTGCAGTGACAGCAGGACCAGGCAGCAGAGCTGTGCTTTGACAATTCCTGCCAGCAGAACATGTGTCCAGCCCATTTCCCTGCTCAGCTGGGTGTCCCCCACCCCAGGGCCGCTCAGTGTTCACTCCCTGGGTGTGTTTAACAAAGCCTGGATGTGGCACTGGGTGCCAGGGTTGAGCTGAGGTGTTGGGGCTGGGTTGGACTCGATGATCTTGAAGGTCTCTTCCAACCCAGTGATTCTGTGATTCTGTGAATCCTGTGGCCCCTGGATGAGACCCAGGGTAGGAAAGCATTCATTGTTCTCCTGGAGCCATCAATGCCTCACACCCGTAATTACAAATCCTGGGGCTGCCCCTGAAGCACCATTAGCACTTGGAGCCATAAATCTCCAGATTCCAGCAGCTTTTTGACCAAAGCTGGTGTGACACAACCAAACCAGGTCAGGCAGGAGGAGCTGCTGGCTGTGGGGTTCACACCAGTGAAACAACAGGCTCCAGACCTCAATGAACCTCAAAAAAGCTCATGTTCTGTCAGTGGGAAAGAAATCATTGCTGAAGATGCTAAAAAGCTGGATCCCACTGTGGGATACCCAGGAGCAGGTCATCAATCCGCTGTTTCACAGCAGATCTTCTCCAAAGATCTCGCTTGGATTTCCCACAGGACTCTGAAAGCATCAGCTTTCTTCCATTTTTTGTGGCCTCAAAGGTCTTCTGGACCCTCAGCAAACTCTGACCAATATCTGGATAAATCCTGGCTACATCTCCACAGCAAAGCCCATCCAGGCATGGAATGCAGGCACAGATCCCCTCCTAACACAGCTCAGCACCAGGAAATCCCAGCAGCTCTGCAGGAGCTCACTCTGCTGGACATCAGGATCTCTGTGATGACCATTTTAAATGTCATTTTCTGTCTGCCTTTCTGGCAGAGCTAATTCAGACATGATCCATTACCCTGTAATCACAAATTTATCTCCTGCACAGAGGTAGGCAGAGCCTGGCAAGGAAAGCCTGGCTGTGAAACCAGTCCCAGCTAGTGCTGAGACAGGGGGGATCTTTGGTGTATCAGCATTTTAAATGTTAAGGTGACAAAAATACAACAGCAGTATTGCAGACCCCAGGTATTACAGCAGCATTTCTCCCAGGGATTAAGGGAGGCTATTTCTTGCAGGATATTACTGGAGCCTGGAGCCAGTTTGAGACTGGACCATATTTTAGACAAATTTCATTTCAAAGAGGCCATCAGCTCTCTGCCTGGATAATCACATCTGGGAATTAGCCAGGAGAGAAATCTGCCCCAAAACATTCCCATATTCTGTCTCCAGTCCCCACTGAATGTATTTGGGCTCACAGGGCTGGAGCAGCTCTGGTGGGCAGGGAATTTCTCCTGGGGTTGCCACAGTCGCTATGCACCAAGAGTAAACCCAAAAACAGGGAATAAACTGCTTTACTTCACTCCCACCCTTTTATCCTACAGTATCTCTTAAAAACTAATGTACCTCTGTATGCTATAATTTCCAAATTTCCTCTAATCCCATGCATAATTACATGGAGCACTGCACTGCATCCCTTCCATGCAAACATTGCTACCAAGTGCAGGATTTTCAGAGCATGATGTGACAAAGAAATAACTGCAGTCGTTCTTTCTCCTCTGTGTGTGGGTACACAACAGGACAGCACGTGTCATTAGCTTCCTGTTGGGGACACTGCCCATTTATCTTCCTGCTGATCCTCCCCCAGTGCCTGCTAGCAATGTTATTTCAGTGGTTTAACACAAAAATGTTATTTCAGTGGTTTTGCTTGTTTTTTATTTAACATGGCTGGGAGGTTCCTGGGTGTCTCAGGGCTGTGTCCTTCCCCCTGGCTCCCTGAAACCCCTGGGGCCTCAGCAGCAGAATCCACATTTCAGATGCCTTTAACAAAGGTGTCTCCAGAACCATGCTCTGATCTCTTTTTCATGTTCCTTCCACTCAACAGTGCTCAGAGCTGAGGGGCAGACCCCTGGGATTGCCTGGCTGGGGATAATGGGGCATTCCCTGCTCCAGGGCTGTCTCCAAAAGGGATGTGAGGGGTGCACCAAGGTTGTGGGAACCTCAGATAAAATCCTCTCCCAGCTCCTCCTGCCAGTGTTTGCCATCAGCTGAAATGCAGAGATGTGATGCTCAATGCCCTGTCCAGATTTTAGCACCATCCCTACATTTTTTTTAAGATAAAACAAGCACCAGAACTACCTAACAGAACCTGCTGGCCAGCAGGAGGCAAACCCCAGAGCAAACCCTTCATTTCTACTGCAGATCAGCAGCAGATCCACCCCCAGGCAGCACCTCTGGCTCTCAGCACCAAAGCTGGAAAAGAAATGTGCTGTGAGATGTGGAGCTGTGAGGAGTGTCCAACATCCCTGTGACCCCGTTTACTCCTGGCTCTTTGGTAACCCCTAAACTGGTTCATACTGGGGAGCCTGGGGAAAGACATCCTAAAGAACCAAAATCCTCCTGACCTCCCCACTCCATCTCTTCATGAGCACCTAACCCTCCAGCTCCCCACAGCAGTTTCCTCAGCTCAGAAACTCCTCAGCTCACCAACCTCTGCCTTCTCACCTGCCCTCACATCAAACACCTTCTAAAAACCATCAAACACCTTCCAAAAATCAACCAAACCTCCCCTCCCCTACCATCAAACACCTTCCAAAACCAACACCAAACACCTTCCAAAAACCAACCAACCAAACCTTCCCTCCCCTGCCATCAAACACCTTCCAAAACCAACATCAAACACCTTCCAAAAACCAACCAACTAAACCTCCCCTGCCATCAAACACCTTTCAAAACCAACATTAAACACCTTCCAAAAACCAACCAAACCTCACCTCCCCTGCCATCACACACCTTCCCCAAACCAAGGCTGTCCCTCCCCACGTGGCTCTGCCCCAGCTTGTCCTTGACCACCCCCCAGTGCATGACACAGACTCAGACCCCATTCTGTGAGCACAACAGAACAGAAGGTGTCACCAGATCTTTAAATGTCATATTGGGGGCCCAGTTTCCTCAGTCACCTCCACTGAGAGTGTTGAAGCACAGCCAGCTCCCAGGGTGGTGTCACAATCACAGGGGACACTCCCTGTGCCAAAACTTTTCCTGTATCTTCCAAGTGCACCACTTTAGTTTAGTAAAAGAGTTTCTTCTTTCTTCCTTTTTATATTTACTGGCTGAGAAAGGTTTATCCCAGCAGTGTTGATCCCTTTTATCACCCTCCAGAGGCTGCAGCAGGAGCTGCCAGCACCACTCTGCTCACACCTCACCTGCAAAGGCTCTTGGGTTCCTCAACTCTGCCTTCTGCATGGCCCAACCCTCCTTTAACAAGTCCAGCAGCCTGAATTTGGTTAAAATAACTGTTTATTTGTCAAAGCCCTGACTCCTGTCCAGAATAAACTGAGTCCAAACTAAACTAATCCCCCCACTGAAGGCTGAATGTGCTGCCTGGGACAAGGGGGCCAAAGGAGTAACAAGAAGTCTCTGTGTGAACGGGAACAGACCTAATTTCAGCTTCCAGGGATTATGTCAGTGACCAAAACAGAGTTGTTTGGGTTCAGAATTCCCACCAGGCAGGGATCTGCACTCATGCAGCTGCTCTGTGCCTGAGGACAAGGCTTCTCCAGACAAACCATGTCAGGATCCAGGGGGATCCCACCCACCTGGCCAGACACCACTCCTGATCAGAGCATCACTGCGGTATTTGGGGGCTGTGAAGGGAAAACCTCTTTGAGCTGCGCACACAGAGCAGCCCCAGCTCCCACCCACAGCCAGCTCCTCCCTCCCCTCCTGCTCTTGTTTTGGGCTCATCCCACCCCTGAAGCCTGGCAGGGCTGGAGCACAGTTCAGAGCTGCCAACCCTTCAGCTGGAGTGTTACAACAGCCCGAGACACATTTTTCCAAAGCTTGCCCTGGGAGGAGAGGGACTCTGCACTGAGGAGAACGCAGTGCTGTGTTCCATGGATCCACCCTCAGCACATGGGAACCATCTCCTCATTCCTCCTGGTTTGCACAAACTGGACACTGGAACTGAGGCAAAGCCACCTTGTCACCTGCACTTCACACAAGCCTGGACAGATCTGCACAGCTCCTGCACCTCCCCAGTGGGTTTGTTACCAACACCCTTTTCCAAATCCCTGCACCCTTCCAAACCCTCCCTGGCCCATGTCACAGAGGTGCTGGGGGTTATGACATTGTCCCTACCTCTCCAAGTGGCTTCCTCACTTCATCTTCCTCCATTTTCATAGAACCATGGAAAGGTTTGGGTGTGAAGGGACCTCAAATCCCACCCAGTGCCACATCTGTCATGGGCAGGGACACCTTCCACTGTCCCAGGCTGCTCCAAGTCCCAGTGTCCAACCTGGCCTTGGGCACTGTCAGGGATCCAGGGCCAGCCACAGCTGCTCTGGGCACCCTGTGCTAGGGCCTGCCCACCCTGCCAGGACACAATTCCTTCCCAATATTCCACCTAACCCTACTCTGTCTGAAGCATTCCCCTTTCCCCTGCAACTCCAGGGTGCTGTGTGTCCCTGTCCAGCTCTCCCACAGGCTCCCTCAGCAGCTGGATACTTCCCTGTCCCCTGGTGCTGCCCAGTGAGTGTCCCCAGCCCTGGACAGTGGGTGCCCAGCCCTTGGGATGCAGTTTGATGACTCTGTAGCTAAAAAATTAGTCTCTGGGACGTGTTCAGAGCAGGGGGTGTGCTCAGCCTCATCTCTGCAGCTCCAGAGCCAGCGAGTGAATGTCCCCAGCCCTGGGCAGTGAGTGTCCCCAGCCCGGCCGTACCTGATGGGCAGGGAGGGGTCCCCGGCATCCCACCAGTCCTTGGGGGGGCTGATGTACATGCACCACAGCTCCCAGCTGTAGCCGTGGGCCGAGTTCTCGTAGCGCTGCACCTCGAAGTTGTCCTGCTTGATGTTGTCAATGGAGGGCAGGATCACCCTCTTCCTGTTCTCCTGGATCCGGGACAGCACCGGCTCTGCCCTGGGGAAGGGGCAAAGCACAGAGAGAGCCTCAGTTCACTGCAGCTCCACTCAATTCCATCCCAATATCCCATCCATCCCTGCCCTCTGGCAGTGGGAGCCATTCCCTGTGTCCTGTCCCTCCACCTTGTCCCCAGTCCCTCTCCAGCTCTCTTGGGAGCTCCCGTTGGTTCTGGAATCCACTCAGAGCCTTCTCCTCTCCAGCTGAACAACTCCAACTCTCTCAGCTTGTCCTCACAGCACAAGTGCTCCAGCCCTTCGTGTTCCTCCTCTGGACCCACCCAGGTCCATGTTCTCCTTGTGATGGATACAAACCTGGTCCACAGGCTGGAAACCTTCCCTTCTGTAAAGGAAGGCCAGGAAGGGTGTGCTGGGTTCAAACCACGCTGGAACTCGTCCAGCCTTCCCCCACACCTCAAAACCCTGGGCAGAACAGGCACATTCCGGAAAGCAGGACTGTTTGGAGGGTCTTTTTTCCCTTGGGATGCAGTTTGATGACTCTGTAGCTAAAAAATTAGTCTCTGGGACGTGTTCAGAGCAGGGGGTGTGCTCAGCCTCACCTCTGCAGCTCCAGAGCCAGCGAGTGCCCTGGGGTCAGTGCCCACACCAGGGGGAATTTGGGGGAACTGGCACTCTCAGTGCCCCCAGTAACAGCAGCAGGTGGGAAACTCAGAGAGAGTCAAGCCCACAGTGCAGAAATGTCCCCTCTCTACCCCTAGAAAAGAGCTTCAAGAGCTCAGTCAGTGGGAGCTCCTCAGTGAATCAGGTGTGAGGATTTAGTGACCAGAGAGAGGAATGTTCAACTGGGAATAAAGATCCCAACATCACAAACAGCTCCTAAATACCCCCTTCAGCTGCACTGTCATTAAAAAGGATGCAATAGCTGTGCACAACTCTGCCTTTAACAGCTGCAAATAGGGGGTTTTGTGTCTGTTACTGTGTTCAAATTCAACACAAGTTTAGCTTCTTCCACCTCCACTTTTCTAAACATGGACCATTTACTTTTTACACTTGGTTAAAGGAAAAAAATTCCCTTTCAGGCTCCTGTCATGACAAAGATTCAAACTTAAGCCACTAGAGCTCTAATGTCCTAAACCTCTCTGAAAAAAATCCTTATGAGACACCTTTTGCTGCTTCTGCACCTCTGCTGTTATTCCCAGCAGCAGAGGAAACAAATCAATCCAAAGCCTCTGGGCCTTCCCCTCTGGGATCCAGCACTGGACAAGAAGTGGGAAACACTTTCTCCTTCATTCCCTTGCTGCCTGGGCTTTTTTCAACTTGCAGGAATTACTTAAGGCTAAGGGAATGGCAAATCATCCTGAAAAACATAAACAGGGAGCAGGGAAAGTGCATGCACAAAGGGAAGGAATAGAGAAGGATTACAAGGAACAAGGGCAAGGAAAATTTCTCCTCGTATATTCCCACCATGCCATTCAATGCAGAAGGAATCCAGAAGGAATCCTGGAGAAGGATTAACAAGCCAGAGGACCTGTGTGTCATTCTGCAGGAACACATGAGTGCTGAACAAGCCAGAGGACCTGTGTGCCATTCTGTAGGGACACAAAAGGAGGCTGTTCCCCTGGTTAGTGCCCCCTCTGAGCAAGCCCCTGAGCACCTACCAGCCAGCAGTGAACTCCACGTGGGCATCAAAGAAGCCGGTGACCTGGCCCGTGGCAGCCTTCCAGCCCTCGATGCGGGCCCGGATCAGCCCTTCCCTCTTCTGGTTCCTCACCACCTTGACCAGCCCCGGGTAGCGTTTGTTGACGTACTCCTCCAGCGGCGCCTTCAGCTCCTCTGGGGACAAGGACACACAGCCCGTGGGACAGGGACACAGCTCCCAGCTGGAACAAACCCACCCTGGGGAGGGGCTGCAGCAGGATCATTGGGGAGCACCCTGCACCCCCTGAGGGACACAATCACCTGGGCTCGAGCAGTGCTGGTCTGCACGAGATGGACTGAGCACAACCCACACAGCAGAGGTTCAAGGTAGCCCAGAATGCTGCTGTTGGGCCACTGAGGAGCCCACGGGCCACCTCAGCCACTTACAGTCCTCTGCACTAAAAGGAATGGAACTGAAACACAAAGATAGAAAGACTTCATCCATGGACAGCAAACGGCAGCACTCTGAACTCCTGGTGGAGGTTTGAGCTGAAAGCACTGCTAGAAATGCTGCAAAATCTACCCAAAGTGACTCAGACTACATCAAAACCATGTCTGAGCTTCACTGCCCTCTTCACTCAGCCTCACCACTACAGCCTTGGCACTTGCTGTTTGTTTTGCCACCAGAAAAGTTGAAATTCCCCTTGCTTTTGTGAGGGGATGAAAGGGATTCTGGCTTTGTTCAGAAGATCCTCCCACCATGTGTTCACTGCAGCTCATTTCCCTGTGCTTTCCCAGGCCTGTGTGTGCAGTGCCTGAGTCCCTCAGGGACCTGCAGCCCTCAGCCACCCCCAGCACAGAAATCCTCCAGAGTACAAGATCTGAGCATGAAAGACCCAGAGGGCTTTGAAGGTGGAAGCAGATGGAAGGTTACAATAAAGGATAAACACCAGTGTGTTCTTCCAACCCTTTGGAAAAGTGCCAGTTCTCTGCCAGAGGAGCCTCAGTCCTTTCAGTGCCTGTTGCACCAGCTCAATGCACAAAGGTCTGCTGGAGAGAGGAGCTCTGAAAGCTCAGCAAAGCCACTGGGCACCAACACAAACTCTCAACACCATGAAAGCAGCTCCTCAGAGTATCTTTCATCCCTATGAGGCTTCAGGGCTGCAGAAAATGAAGATATGATCCGTGACCTCAAATTATAGTCTACTACCCTTCACTGCACTCTCTTGCTCTCTCCTGGAATAAAAATAAAGAGGGGAAAAAAAGAGTCACCATTAATCATCCACATGGTAAAATCCTTGAGATACACGAGCACATGTGGGGTCCCTCATGAAGGAAACACACAATGGAGAGCAAAGGAGTAAACAGCAAGTCTCATCTGCTTTGAAATCTTCAAAGGAAAAGGATTATCTGTTCCCTTCCCTGCCACGCCTCCTTCCAGGCACAGCAAATGTGCTTTCTCCACGCTGCCTTTCTGGGATGCTCCCCCTCACATCTCCATTTCCCCAAAGTCTCCTTTCTCTTTTATGCTGAAATGGGAATAAAAAGAATAAAGCAAATGAGCCCCTTCCTCAATTCAAAGCATCTGCATCACACACATCCATAACTCAGCAACTTCCATTTCATGCTGAGCCACTCAGAGCAAAACCAGGATTTTATGGAGACAACAACTCTCCCAAATGGTTTTAAGGAGATGAAGACACCAATTTTTTTGACAGATGAAGCCCCACAAGCACAGCACTTGGTATCTCACGTGGCTTTGGCAGCAGGTAAGTCATTAATGCAGCAGACCACTGCACCACGGAGTGATTAAAACAACTTTCACATTGGAGGTGGAGTCTCAGTGGAAGGAAAACGTGAGAACTCCCCTGGGGAATTGTCTGAGCAGCTGAAAGCAGAGCGAAGCTCCAGTGAAACAGAGGAGTTGTAATGTCACAACTCACAGGCAGCACAGAGTCAGCCCTGAGAGCCCCCTGTGCCCACCCCAGAGTGTGCCAGCAGCTCCCCAGAATGTCCCCAGGCAGCCACAGCCACTCCCCTGCTGTGTCCTGGGTGCCAGCAGGGGCAGAGTGACCTGGGGGGAGCACGGGGCCACAGCAGCACCTGTGCAATGGCACCGGGCATGTGGGAGTGCCTGTGGCTGGCACCACTGTGACCCTGCTCCCTGGCACAGGGCAGGGCCTGTCCTGCCCACAGCCGGGACACAGGTGTCCCCAGGGGCCTGTCCTGCCCACAGCGGGGACACAGGTGTCCCCAGGGGCCTGTCCTGCCCACAGCGGGGACACAGGTGTCCCCAGGGGCCTGTCCTGCCCACAGCGGGGACACAGGTGTCCCCAGGGGCCTGTCCTGCCCACAGCGGGGACACAGGTGTCCCCAGGGGCCTGTCCTGCCCACAGCGGGGACACAGGTGTCCCCAGGGGCCTGTCCTGCCCACAGCGGGGACACAGGTGTCCCCAGGGGCCTGTCCTGCCCACAGCGGGGACACAGGTGTCCCCAGGGGCCTGTCCTGCCCACAGCGGGGACACAGGTGTCCCCAGGGGCCTGTCCTGCCCACAGCGGGGACACAGGTGTCCCCAGGGGCCTGTCCTGCCCACAGCGGGGACACAGGTGTCCCCAGGGGCCTGTCCTGCCCACAGCTGGGACACAGGTGTCCCCAGGGGTCTGCTGCCCACCTGGAGCAGCACTCAGAGACACAAGCAATGCCCAGCAGTGGGAAATGCAGTTCCAGGCCCTCTCTCTCCAAGGCTTTCCTGCACATCCTCACAGCATTTCCAGGTTTGCTCCCTGCCTCTGCTTCGTTCAGGCTCAGCCCAGAGCACGCAGCTTTTGGGGAGAGATGACATTTCCTCCCTGCCTGAGCAGCCCTAAAGGAGAGGATGGCTGCACCCCAGCACTGAGCTGGGCCAGCCTCAGCCTCCTGAGCTGTGCTGCAGCTCTGGGAGGAGAGGGCACAGCATGTTCTGGTGTCATCAGACACATCCCTGGCACTCAGAGGGGTGGACTCTGTATTTCATTTCCCAGAGCACCCAGAAGTGCAGGAGTGGAAAATCCAGTTTGGGTAACAAAAGTGAAATGCCAGTCTCCAGGAATCCCAGAATGATTTGGGATAAAATTCATCTCATTCCACACCCTGCCACGAGCAAGGACACCCTCCATAGCCCAGGGTGCTCCAAGCCCTGTCCAACCTTGGACAATTAAATTCTCTGAGAAGCTCCTGTTCAAGCATCCCATGAGCCCTGGCCTGGGTTAAGGAGCAGGGCTGATGTGGCTGTGTGGAGAAGCATCAGTGGAAACCCCAGTGTCTGCACAGCTCCTCTGCTCCTGGGGATGCTGATCCTGTGGGACCAGACGTGCTCAAACCTCTGGAAACCATCACTGACTCACAAATCTCATCCCAATCCAAGTCAGGTGACGTTATCCCTGATTTTGCTCTACGTTTCCCTCAGTCAGCAGCCACTGAGTGCCCTGCACTGTCAGAACACCCAGCTCCAGCCTCAGGACCTGCAGAGCTGCTGCTGACTTCAAAGCAGTTCACCTGACCTGTCAGCTCGGGCAATGTTTCCTGCCCAGCTGATGCACCTTCAGCAGGTGCCAGCTACACCAGGAAGGTTGGGAGGCCTGGAACAGAACACCAGGGGTTTGTGACTTGCACTAAGGGACAGCAGGAGAGAGCAGCTGTCATACACAGGGACAGCCTGGCCCTTGGATCTGCTCCTCCCAGGACTGCACACAAACTACAGCAGGGACAAAGCACCTCCAGCTCAGGGACTCGCTGCCATTGCCACCCCTGCCTGGCACAGGGCCACGGTGCTGCTGTCACAGGGCTGACAGTGACAACATCCACGAGAACCTGAGCCAGGATAACCAGCCTGGTGCTCAGAAACTGGGACTCTGGAAGTAAAGAGGTCAGGAGCCAGGATGGGAACAGGGCAGTGGCCCCGAGCTCCCCTCATGCTCCCTGATTTCAGGCCTGCACTCCTGAGGATTCCACAGGAATCCACAGGGGCTGCACAACCTGGAATTCACTCCAATCCAACACTGCCCTGCAGCTTGAAGACTCCCTTCTCTCCTGCACCCCATGGCTCTCCCCCCTCACACACTCAGGCATCCTCTGAGGAAGCCAGCTGGAGCCTCCCTCAGAGCACAGCACCCCTGTTTATTCAGGACTGGAAGGTTTGATCTCTGCCATTGCACAAGCTGCTTCCCAGCAAGATTTGTAGAGAGAAATGCTCCTGAAAATGCCAAAAGGCTCAGTTTCAGTCCTGCCTTTTATTCTCCATCTGTCCCTATTGATCTTCCCTGAAGGGCAAGTCCAAGGAACTCGAATCCAGTGGACCTGCTGCTCCATTAAAAAGCCCAGCTGCCAGCTGCAATGACTTATCTGTTACAAACTGTTTTGTCACCTGCCCAAGATGGGAAATGGGGCTGCAGGGAAATGGAACCACTTGTGCCAAGGAAAGTAACCCCACCATAGACATCAGCCCACCTGCAAGCACAGAAACATCCACTGCTCCATCCTGATTAGGCTGAAAGATGTAGCTGGCGGTGTGTGTTCTATCACCCTCTGTCAGAGCTGGGGCAGTTCTCTGCTGTCCATGGGGCAGTTATCTGCCTATTCCCTATTCCTATTCCCTATTTCCTGTCTTTGCCTGAGAGCCTCTTAATTTGAAAATTGTAATAATTCAGAGGGAGGGGGTTTACATTTCCCATTTCAGGGGAGGCTCCTGCCTTCCTTAACAGACACCTTCTGTTCAAACCAAGACACCTCCCCACCCAAATCCTGCCCAAACCTCTCCACATGCTGTGGTAGCCCTCAGAACTAAAGGTGGGAACTGCCTGTAGCCACACAGAGAAAGGAGCAAAGACCAGCAGCACCAGAGCAGCTCAAGGAATTACCAAGAGCAGGGAATTCCTTGTGCAGCACCGGCCAGGTGTCCTTGGGAGAGGACCACACCTCCACACCCCTAAGGAAAACATCCTTGTGTTTGCCAGGCTCAGCTGGGTGGGAAAAGCCTACAGAGGCCAAGGTGTTATCTGAAAGACTGGAGGGGTCAGGGCTGGGAGTGCTCCAGTGCCACGGGAGACCCCAGCCACCCCTGTCCCACGTTGTCACCTGCCTGGAACGCCAATGCCATCAGGGCTGGGATTTCTGCATGAAATCATTAAAGCAGCTCCTTCAACAGCCAATAAATAAATGTGAACACTTTTCAGGGAGACTCGGAGCCAGGGGAGTCTCTGAAGCTTTCTACCTGCAGCTGGACAAGAGGGAACTGTGACAGGGGAGCAGGAGGATGAAGCAGTTCTCACAGGGAAAGCTGGTCCCAGTCAGGGCATGCAGCTCAAGCCTCTGCTCACTTGGTTCAGCAAAACCCAAAGAGAATCAAGAATACCCTGAGCTGGAAGGGACCCACATGGACCATGGATCCCAGCTCCTGTCCTGCACAGACACCCCAACAAACCCACCCTGTGCTGCTCTGCTGCTCTTCTCACAGAGCACCAGTGGGACAGCCCAGGTCAGCTCCAGTTAAACACCCCTTCCTCAGGCTGCACTATTCAGCCCTGGGAAAGGCTGGGATGTGACTCAGCTCCCTGCAGCTCCCCTCTGAGCACAAACACCCAGACAGATCCCAGGAGATCGAGGCACGGGCGCTGTTGCTGCTGCTGGAATAAGCAGAACAAGGAGGGGATCCCTCGAGTCCCAGACCCAGGCCAATTACAACCCTGAGCGTGTCTCCCCCGGTGTAGCCAGCTCCTTTAAGCAGCCTTTTATCCAGAGGACTTCCTGTATTCCGAGAGGCTTGCTTTTCAAAGAGATGTTATCCCAGATTAAAAACGCTAAAAGACACAACAACAAAAAAAAAAAAAAAAAAAAAGAGCAGGTGATGATTAAGCAACAGAGTCAGACAAAGTGTGCAGCTGTGAGATAACACAGCATCTCAGGGGCACGTGGCTGTATCCTCCCCCAGCCAGGGAACCTCGTTATCACTCCCAAACACAACCTGCACACTGCCTTTGGAATTACAGCCCTGCAACAAGCACAAACAAAAGCAGCCTCCAAAAGAGTCTTTATGGAGTGTAATGTGCAGCTCAAGGGAGAAGGGGGTTCAAACTACAACTCCCCAAGCTTGCTCCTTCAAGGAGGGATTTTTTTTCCCCGTTACAATACATTGGCATCTTTTATCTATTTACAGCTCAGACATAAAGCATCAGAATGCCGGTGTTCATTAACTTTAATCTCCCACTGCACACTTTTGTGTTGTGCCGTGCTGTTGTACAACAAAGCTGAGAGCAGAGAGTGTCTAATGAGGCTTCAGAAGCTCTTTGTTCCAGCCTGAAAACCTCACACCAGCACCAGGCTTTGCTCCTGGCTGTCACAGCTCTACCTGGAGGGCACAGAGCCAGCTGGGCAGGGCAGGTAGCTCTTGCCTCTACCCCTGGGGCTAATCTTAAAACTTGATTTGGAAATCTCTGTTAATATTTGGTGCTTTGTTCTTCAGTTACCCAGATTCCTCTTCCCCCCTGGCAAACCCACACAAACCCCAGCCAGGGACTGTCCTGAGCCTTCAGCAACTTCCCCAAAGCTGCTTCTGGTGACCCAGGGACAGCACAGCTCTGGGTTGAGCACTTCTCCCTGGAGTCAACCTTCTCTCAGGTTACACAGCTGAGCCTCCAAAGGCTTTTTCTGGGCTACAGCCACAGAAATGGTCCCTCACTCCCACACAGCTGCTCCCACAGAGGCTGAAGAAATTCCTTCTTGTTCAATCACAGCCTCCAAAGTCACACCCACACAGCCCCATTCTCTGCTTGATCCTCCAGGATTCATCTCTAAATCTGAGAGCTCATGAAGAACTATTTTCCTGTAATTATTTTCCTGTAGAAGCCAAATCTATTTATTATGATGACTTTGTTTGTAATATCCAAAGCATCAACTCTGCGATGCTGCTGTTGCTGCTCAGAATGATTGCCGACCATTAGTGGGAACTCTGTGACAATGTTATTGCCATTAATAATTCCTGGCTGTCACTGCAGCTCCTCCAGGATGCTGAGAGGGAGCACATGGTCCCAGAGATACGTTCTGGTTTGTATCATTTCTTTTACATGAGAAAAGTAGATTATTACACGCTTGGGAGGAGCTCTTCATAAACATCTGCCAAGTTACCTCATTATCTTCCTTCAAATCCCTCCTTAAAAATCTCATTTGTCATGAGGCCTGCAGCAGAACACTGGCATTATTAACTCACCCTCCCATCTGATGGCACCACCTCAGTGCCCTGCCCCCTCCACTCTCCTTGTGCACCCAGTGTTTCTGAGGACAGAACTCCTCAGGGATGTCCAACCCTCAGCACTGCCCTGGGCCACCATGAGGGACCCTGGACACTCCCGATTCCAATCAAAGCACCCTCGGGGTGAGATGCAGCCCAGCTGTGCCAGGAGACTGGGATTTTCCCACCTTGTGCCCAGGATGTTTGAACTTTTCCATCAGTTGGGATCATCTCCCTGCTTCTCCCTCCCTGGTGCTGTACAACAATCCAACACAACCCTGGCAGTGTCCCAGGCCAGGCTGGACAGGGCTTGGAGCAGCCTGGGACAGTGGAAGGTGTCCCTGCCATGGCAGGGGTGGCACTGGATGGACTTTAAGGTCCCTTCAACCCAAACTTTCTGGGATTCTGTGAAACCCCAGAGCTGGAAGTGCTTGAACACAGTCCAGGCTTTGGGCACCCCTCTGCCTGCCCCGCCACCCCCCAGCCCCAACCCTGCCAAACCCCAGTGGTGCCCTGCAATCCCACAGTGGGTACAGGGATCCCACCCTGATCCTCACTGCCAGCTGCAGCCCTGGCCTTGCAGACACTTTAGGAAGGATTTGGTTTTTGTTTTGCTGTCCTGTGCCTTTCCAGTGTCTCTGGAGCACCTGGCTCACCATCAGCCTCACACTGGACGAGAAAGAGGCCGTTCAGAAACACATCCTTGGTGCACAGCAACAAGGGGAGGAGCTCAGTGATTATCACCAACGGCTTCTCTTTGAAAGAGTTCTTCTCTTTGCCCCATTAATAGGATACAATCTGGAGAAGGAGCCTCTCATTCTGGTATTTCAAGTGCTGGGCACTGTGGGATACCCCAGCAGCACCTCACCAGCACTTCCCCTTCACCAGCTCTGAAATCCCACAGCTTCACCATGGCATCATCCAAGCTCCTGCCCTGGAGCTGCTGTGACTCCCACCAGCTGAGAAGCTGCCCTCCTGATTCTTTTACTGGTAATTAGAACTCATCAGCTTTATGTGGTGCTCATTACTGTGGTGTTTGAGTGTCTGCGTTTACAGCCTGAAGAGCTCACTGTGCACCAGCTCCTCCCCTCACAGACAGAGACAACCTCTGAGCTCCCTCTGGAAATGAGCTCTCCACACCCTGCACCCTGCCCTGCTCTTCCCTCCAATCACAGCATCCATGGCACTCCTTGATTAATTTTTTTCAAATAACATTAAAAGGATGAAGACACAGCACAACTGAAGGAGGCAGTAAACAAAGTCAACTATTTGCTGTCCTTCACAAGGATTTTAAATGCCCTGATTATGTTGTCTGAGTGGATATTGGGGGGGAAAAAAAGAAGATTCTTTGAAGAATTTGAGTCTGAAAGTGCTTCCTGCAGTTCTGTGTTATCAAAAGCCAGAAGGAAAGGAAAGACAACAGCGACTGAGAGCAGGTTGAACCAAAGGACACTCGTGTGTAATGTGGGAAACCAAACATCCCCTCCAGCCTGTGGCAGGGCCTGACCTGGACAGATGGGCTGGGATTATTTCCTGTTCCAAAACCAGAACTCAGGGAATGAGGGTCTCTGCAGAGCACCAGCCATCTATAAAGCCTGGGATGGTATTTTACAGTAGGGAAACTGAGGCACACACAAAGGAAACGTCTCAGCTGACACCCCTGGGAGGTACCAGAGGAGAAATCCTTCTGGGCTCCAGGCTCTTGTCCTGACAAATATTTAGAGGTGCCTATCTGCAACAACCAAAGTTATTATGAGAAACAAGGATATCCTGAAACCAGAGCTCCTGGATGGTTCTGAAGGGAAAGGTCAGATGGCTCTCTGGTTTCCTTCACCCTCCAGGTCTCAGTTACATTTTCAAACAACAACTCTTTCAGATTTGACTGTGGTTTGATCCTGTTCCTCACCAGACAAGCTGCAGAGAACTTTGTGCCAGCAGCACACCCACCCCCTTACCCCACATGCCCTTGCCCCAAGAACCCTCCAGCAGATTCCAGATTAAAGCCAGCCCCTCCTGGTGGAGCTGGAGCTGCCAGTGCTGCTCACCCTCGTCGCTGTTGTCATCCACGAGGATGATCTCCTTGAGCAGGGGGGCAGGGGTGTGGTTGACGGCGCTGTGCACCGAGCGCAGGATCACCGACAGCGCCTCATTCACAAAGATGAAGATGATGGAGATCTGGGGCAGGTCCTTCCCGTATTTCAGCTCTTTGCACCTGCAACACGAAGGGAAGAGAGGTCAGCAGAGCTCACGGGGCAGCATTTCCAGCCAGGCTCATGGCAAATCCCAGGGTTGCCACCTCCCAGCTGTGCACAGCCGGGGATCCCCACTGCCTGCAAGTCCAGCCTCCAATCACTGCTGCTGGGGAGAGAACACAGCAAAGCAGAGCATCCCCAGGCTCAGAGAGTCCATCCAGAGCTCACCCCACCTGTGTGTGTGCAGATAAGCAAGAGTGGCCTCCAGAACACAGCAAATGCCTCCAGCAGTTCAAGGGAAACTCCTCAGCCCCACTCTGCCCCAAGATTTATAGGTGCTCAGAAATGAGCCTTGTTCTTCAACAGCACTTGGGAATTTTCTTCCCATTTGCTTTGGAAAGAAATGAACATAAAATGAGCCTTGGTTAAATAGTCTCAATAAATGTTTTTGTTCTCTCGGCAGATACTCCTAAGCACATTCCTGTCTCTGAAGCAGTGTTGTGCTGGTGTCATTGCACTCCACAGCCAGGATGGTCAAACCCAAACCCTTGTGATCACCTCCCTGGTTTCAGGAATCATTCCTTAATTCGGGCAGGGCTTGGGGCTGGGCCTCTGTTCACACAGACTTCAGAGCAGGACAAAAGCAGGAGCTCCCAGGTTTCCACCAGCACCAACCCTGGCAAGAAGCAGGTCCATGTTCCATGGACATACCAGAGCTGGAGAGAGGGACATCCATGGAGCACGGCTGGGGCAGCTCTGAGGGAAGGGGTGTTCCAGGTGACCCCCAGCTCTCCAGGGAGCACAGGGACACAGATGTTGTTTCCCGGTTGTTTCATCTCAACTAGACACCTCCTCTTAACAGAGCAACTGTGGAAAGCAATCAGGAGATCTTAAACCACTTCCAACAATTTAATTCAACTCTCCAGCTGCCCCTACAATAAATCCAGGTGGGGCAAGGACAGAAGGAGCTTCCCTGCCCCCTCCCCACATCCCTCACAGATTAGACACGGAACACGAGCAGAGTTCCCAGAATCACAATGAGTGTGCAAGGAGCAACCCCTGCCCAGATCAGAAGAGAAAGACCAAAGGCAGAGTGACATCCCAACAACTCCTCAGCTCCCCAGCAATGCCTCTGCATTTAATTGTCCTGGGTGTTTCTTAGGCAACAGCAGGAGTTCTTTAGACTCCAGAACGAGACTTAGGAGTCAAAAATTTCCACAGAAACACAGTTTTCTTTATGAATCTTCTTTAGTTAAACAAGTTTGCTGGGTGACAACATGGTTGTGTTTCCTGATTTAATTATTGCCAACCCTACAGCAAGCCAAAAGTTGACAGAAGGGAACCAAACACTGAAAAGGATATTCCAAAGGGAAAATCTTTCTTTAAAATGAATGAAAGAACGGTCATGATGGGGCAAAGTGACAAGTGACCCTGAAATCCTGCCAGGAAAGTCAAACTACACTGACTCAGACATTAAAAACTACTTTTGGTTGATGTTGATACCTGCTCTGGTGAAGTCAAGGCTGTCACAGGAGCAGGAGCATTTCCTTTTAATCATTGCTCACCTCTGGGCAGCCTTCCCCCAAGGAATGCTGCAGGGGATAAAGAGCTCAGCCTGCGATCAAAGAGCTCTGGAGGCAAATCCAAACCCAGCTCATCTCCTGCTCATTGGCATTCTCCCTGCACCACTCCTGCCAGGGCTCTCCCTCTCCAGTGCCAGGACAGGTGGACAAAGATCCAGGAAGAGGAGATGAGTCTGGGAGGGAGGAGTGGGAAAGGCCAGCCCACATTGCTGGGGCACAAAGCTCCAGTTCTCCAGAGGCAGGAGAGGCTTTGCACCAACACCCTGCTCTGGTGGCTTTGGCTCCCACCACAGAGCTGGGAAGGCAGCAATTTTAAACCAAATTAACATCAAGTTTGTTGTGTTCCTCCCACGAGGTCCTTTCAATGCTGGTGACAAAAGCTGTGGGGTGAGTGATGCTCTGCCACAGCCTGCAGCTCCACGAGGCTTCTTCCAGTGCACAAACCAGCAAATATCCCTGCAAATGTGCAGGGAAACACTGGAGCTGTTCTGGGAAGGGAGGGGAAAAGGGCAGAGCAACACTTGAGCTCAAACATCACTGAAAAGGCTGGGGAGAAGCTGCAGGAAACAGCGGGAATGGTGAGAGCACAGGGTGGGAAGTGCTGGGCTTTGGGTTGTTGGGTGGTTTGGGTTTTTTCATAGAAAAAGGGCTGATCTGGATGCTTTGTCCTTCAGCCCATGTGCAGGCAGAGGCACAGGTGTGACTGCTTCACTGGGGAATGCTCAGACCCTGCAGGGAGGACTCACTGCGGGTCAGCAGTCCTGGGACAGCTGAGGTTACCCATGGCTGCAGCCCCTACACCTCCCTCCTCATCTGCACTCTCCTGCACCCCCAGGAACAGCACCCTGCCCACCTGAGAGGCTGCCTTTTCTGCAAGGGTGGGGAGGCACAAGGTGGGAAATCCCTGCTGCCTTCAGAATTTCAATGACAACCCTGAGGAAGAGCACAGAGAATCCAGCATTGACCCCAGGTCCCAGCAGGAGCTCTGGGGGCTCTGGGAAAGTCCCAAGCAATGCACCAAACCTCTGCTGAGACTCCTGGCACCCTCTGCCCTCAATTACCCCCCTCAGCCCTTGGTTGTGTGCCAGCCATGCCCTTGGAATTCACATCCCAGGCCAAAATACTTCAAAATTCAGTAAGATCTTAGAGCCCCATCCAGTGCCTATAAGGGGCCTACAGGAAGGCTAGAGAGGGAATTTTTGCAAGGACAAGCAGTGATAGGATAAGGGGGAATTAAGATTAATTAATCTCTTTTAAGCTCAAAGAGAGTCATATTGGGAAGGAATCCTTCCCTGTGAGGTTGGTGAGGCCCTGGCACAGGGTGCCCAGAGCAGCTGTGGCCCTGGATCCCTGGCAGCATCCAAGGACAAGGACAGGGCTTGGAGCAGCCTGGGACAGTGGAAGGTGTCCCCTCATGGGACAAGATGGGCTTAAGGTCCCTACAACCCAAAGCACTTGGGATTCTGTGAATCTCAGGTTTTATTTCTAACACCCAGCTCGTGCTGTGTCTGGCCAGGCCAAAGCAAGTCTTGTTCCAGGAAGCTGAATGTTCAGGGGAACACTCCCTACACTTGAAAACCTCTCTATTTAAATTAAATGCAAGGGTCAGACCACCACAACACATTCCAGTGTCAGTGACTAGCTACCCAGCTAAAGCCCAGCCTATCATTTGATGTTGAATTTAGGCCACATTCTTCATTCCATCAGTCCCAAAAGGCTGTCTCAGAAAGTTCTCCCTGCCCATGGAGAAGATGCTCTCCAGCCACGTGCACATCTGCAGGGGGCCCCAGGGCAGAGGTCCTTCCACATCTGCAGGACAGAGGTGTGAAAGCTGGTGAGCCAGTAGGGAGAAAGTCCAGAAGGCAAGAATCCAGGGAAAACCCCTCAAGGGACAATCACTGTTGTTAGGGTGAGGAAAAAGGCTTCTCCCAGCACACCTTGCTATGCCATGCAGATTCCATGTATCCCATTGGCCCTTCCCCCTGGCTCCACCCCTGTACCTGAATCCCATTTGCCCTGGTGTTCTGCCCCACCCCTCACGATCCCCATATAAACCCTGCTGTCACAGCTGAGTGGTTCTTTGACCCTGGACTCTTCTGGAGAAGAAGCTCAGTAAATCTTTCCTTGGAACCCCCCACACAGACCCCATCTCTCCTTCTGCATCACCCAGATCCCAGAAAAGCTGAAACCACCTGGGGTGAGCACAGACCTGCCTGTGCCCCTGAAGTGGCTTCTTCATGGTGCTTCTTCAGGAAGGTCACAGCAGCCTGAACAACGCCCACCGCAACACAGAGGCACTGGGCCAGCTTGCAACAAGTCCTGACAGGAAAAAACTGGGGGACGCTGCAGGTGATCCCTCCCCATCCCTTCTTTGCTAGGTGGGAAAGACCCCCCTGCAGCACAGAGCACTGCCAACATCTGGAAATGAATCAGTGCAGGTTACACAATTACATTTTGTCTCACTAAATCCTGCTCTTTCCAATTAAACCTAGGCTGGCACCTGCTTTTAGGATTTATATCAAAATGTAGTGGAAAGAAAGAGCCACCTCACAGTTTTGTCTCTCCTTTAGATCAATGAGGTATCAAAGAGGCATTTTATGTCCCATTAAATCATGCTTGAATATGTTTCATTAAATCATGCTCACAAAACTCTCCAAGTCTGAGGAGGCTGGGGAAAAACTCCCCAAGTTCAGCACTGGGTTTAATTTAAGGACCTTGCTGAGATCTCATTGAGAAATGTTCTTGGCCTCCAACAGGGGGGGAAAAAGGGGTTTGCACTGTATTGGTCCAGGGCTCAAGCATGATGGGAGGGGTGTAGGTGGAGATCAGGGAAAGGCTCTTCCCTCAGAGGGTGCTGGGCACTGCCCAGGGAATGGGCACAGCCCCGAGGCTGCCAGAGCTCCAGGAGCTCCAGGGATGCCCAGGCTGGGATTGCTGGGGTGTCTGTGCAGGGCCAGGAGCTGGCCTGGATAATCCCTGGGGGTCCCTTCCAGCTCAGGACATTCCAGGACATCTTTTCTCACTTCAGAACAGACTGAGGAGCTGATGACTGACAGCAGTCCCTGCATAAAACAACTCCCAACATCTTCCTCAGCCCCTCCTGCAGGGACACAGATTTGGACGGGCGCAGAGGTGACACAACTCCTGCACTGTGACAGCCACTACCTTTACTGGGTCCCAGAGCTTTATTCCACATAAAGCTGAAGTCTGCAAACATGAGAACCTGCAAGGAAACCCACAAAACAAATGTACTTACAGAGAACATCTTTTCACCTGGTTTATGTAAGAAACCATCCCAAAACAAAGGAAAGCTGAGAAGGTGAGCTGGGGAAAGAGGAAGCAGGGCTGAGTTTCTGCTGAACAGCTTGGCACACGTCAGGCTGGATTAATCAAGTCAGCCAAATTCAAAAGACAAAAAGCATAAACCCCAGCTCTGC